AGTCTGTCTTCTTCTATTTTCATCATCACTATTGTTATTTAAGCTATTATTAACTTTGGATCAGGTTAGTATAAAAGCCTCCTTTCTCCTAGATTCCTCCTACTACAACAGCTGTGTTTCTCAACCTCTTTGTCCACTGTGTACTCTGGGAGCTTTTAAATATACAGATGTCTGTGTTCCACAAAGTTCCAAAGATGATACTGATGTGGAACCAAGGCTAAGAACCGCTATGTTTGTGGGTTTATTTTCCATTAAACAAGGAATCTGCACCAATGCTTTTGGCTTCTAGTGTATCTTTTCAACTGCAAAAAGCCCCTAAAACGATAACCTGTCACAAAGAACACTAATAATAACAAAATCAAACAGCTAAATACTAATGTACATTGTATACCTACATGTACTTCATTGAACTGACTATATAAATGGTCCCTTTATCTTTTAGTATTACTGATTACTGAACTCTTTTCATTATTTTTTCTTCTACTGGGAATGGCAGTTCAAACTCTCCTAGTGCAAACTTAAGATTTTCTGCGGACAATCTTCACCTTATTTATTTCACTGATCAGGCAAATACTCTATCACAAAAAGCTTTCTGATTCTGTATCAGAATAAGTATAAGAACAACATAAAAAGAAAACAGCAAAACCTCACTTGAGAAAATAATCTGTTCAAAGTTTCTTAAGGTCTTGGAATTGGTCAAAATTTTAAAGCAGCTATGTTTAAAGTCCACTGAGAAAAAAAAATAAGGAAAGTTCAATTAAAAGGAGTCTCATTCTAATTTTTAAAACAAATTTAAAACTTTGTTTCTGAAAAAACACCAACATTACATTCATTCTTTTATTTTTAGACTTTTTGGTTTAAAATTATTCTAATATAAAGGTTTTTCCCCTTCCCTCACAATTCTCATTTTAAGTGTTTGCTGCAGAATAGTCAATCACAAATGTATTTTTCAGCTTATCCTACACTGCTATTCTAATTCACCTGTTAAGATCACCCCCTAATTCCATGACCTTAAGAATGCCTGTTTTAACCGTTTAGAACATACTTTTTTTTGTGATTGATTTATAAGCTGCAGGTGTTTATGTGATAAACTGTTTTAAATCTGTTTGGTATGCAGAACAAGTAAATTAAGGAATTGAATAATTTGATAAAATGTCCCAAAGATATTAATAAGATAGGTTAAAAAAAATAAAAACGAAATGGAATTAAAAGTGTACTTTTACTCCTGACAACTGCAGCCTTTTACATTTTCTTGGAATTTTTACATGAATGCTTTAAGTTCAGAAAGAGAAATGCCAGGCATAAAAGCAATCATTATAGGAACGGGTTCATGTGAATATGATTATGGAAAAAAAATCCTACAAAGACAACCAAAAACACACGTGGCTCTACTTCAGTTCTTGATGTGATACATATTTGTCAGGCTCATCTGATTAAATAATGAAGTCCCTGTTTGAAAAGCACAACTAGTTTTTTATTAAAAGGCTGTCTATAATATAACTCTTTTACATTTAAAATATTTTTGGTTTACATGGAGGTCAAATTTTAAAAATTATGTATGGCAAAGACAGAAAACACCTATATGTGCAAGCATATTTCCATTTATATAACCTCACTTTAAAAGACTGACTCCTAACTATCAATGGCAGATACCAGAAATACTCCTTCGCATCACCACTGCTAGGCATCTCCCTATCATTTCATTTTAGTAACTGCTTCAGATATGAGTGCTGCCTGGAACACACCTTTATCTCTAGTTCTCACTTTACCTTTAGACAAACTGGCAGAGTCTCTTAAGTGGTGACACAGGGCAGGCCGTAAAGTGGGGAGTGAAAAGTGGTAAACGAAAAGAGTGCATTAAGCCTACTTGCTACTCTTTACAACCCTGTCCACCCTTCCCCAACTCAAGCCTGTTCATCATCATCAACTAGCATCAGTTGGGCAAACGGATGGAGAACAGTGGAAAAAAATCTTTTTTTATCACAGCAAAAAAGAACAACAAAAGTTTTTTTCATTCTTTTTCCTGTTTTATTTTCAATTCCACTAACAGAGATAAGGGAAAAGAAGGCTCTGTTCTCCAACCTCCCGGTCATTATCTAGTCCTCACTCCTGTCCTTAATATTCAATGACCGTTTTGTCTCCTTATTCCACTCTAACTTATTTCCTTTCCTGCCCTCTCTCCCCAGAAAACCCTCCCCTCATTATAGCCCCAACTCAGCTAATCATACCTAGCCTATGGATCATCCATTCCCATCAATTTATATCTTTTCCCCTAATGCAAATTCTAGAACCACTTCCTGCTTCCCATTTTCCCTCCTATTCTAACATTTGGAGTCACTAACACTAGGTTTGGAGTTGGGGATGGGGAACCTGTATTATTCCCAGAAAATATGTATAGTATTAACAATGAACTACCAAAGCATCAAGAAAGTTATTTTAATCTTTTTAGGACTCAGCTCACTCATCTGAAAAATGAAGAAACTATTAGATCACCACTCTAAAATCTGGCTGACAATTTCTAATTCCTAATAATAGGGATCTTAAACTATAGATCTGAGGTAGAATACAGGAATTTTCTAAGAGGCACCCAGTTGAATCTGCTGATCATCCATGTTTGGGAATCATTGCTAAATGCTAAGAGGTTCCTTCTAGTCTAAAACTCCAAGATCCTAAGCTGGAATTTTCACTGCATTTGCTGGTAGAGAAACTGTGATAAAAGGAGTACAGTTTCCATAGTTATCGGTGCTATAGTTCAGGTATGTTACTGATTCAATAGGCCTCTGCAGACTGATCTAGCACTTAAGCACCCTTCAGATTACGATAACAGCTGACTTGCAAATGAACTTGTAAAATATGTTTACAGATTAGGGACTATTACCACAATACTAAGTCCTCAAAGTAAAACACTAAAAATTATTTCCGTAGTATTATTATGTGCGCAGTGTTTTTCACAGATGGCTTTTTTACCACTAATATTTAGCCTATATGTCAGAAATAAAGGCAGAAGGAACATGCTCATTAGGATCACTTATTCTGCTAATTCACTGATGGGGCTTTGTATATCATTCGAGCAAAGCCTAGAGAAGTCTAGATCACTAGTGAAATTCAGGGTATTAAAACGCCTAAAGAATAGTCTCATTCAAATGTTTAAACTGCCAGGACTTTAACTCCCCAGAAGCATACTAGATCATTCACTTACGAACTCCATGTATCTATTCTAGATCTGGTAACTTCCAATTCTCATTATAAACAAGGGTTCCTGTGGTTAATATTCAGGCTTTAAACATGTTTAAACGTGTGGGAACTAAGCACATACAAGCAGCACTTGAAGAGATGACACATTAGTGTGTTAATTTAAGTGGAACTTATTCATTTATGAATAATGAAATTATTAAAAGGTAAAAATAGAAATGGAATTCTATGCTAGTCATTTCTCTTTAAAAAGATGCACTTAAATTTGTACAAAATAGCAGGGCAAATTGCAGGAAAGTGTGTCCATTTATTTCCTAATTTCTCCAAATAACATGAAATCTACAGTGAATGCCATTATGTAAGAGCATTCTTTGAATATCAAGAATGATGCAGTTGTTGCTATGGTAACTACTCATTTTATTGACTAAATTGTGGGTTTGGGTAGCATTCTTTCAAAAAACATATTTCAACCTCTTAAGTAGGTCTGATAAGATTCTTTCTATTGTTATCTGTTAAACAATAACTACAAGCCGCATTTGGGGATGATTATTTAAGCAGCCTCTATTAAAAGCTAAGCTTGATTTGCTAAGGAAAGAAACCTTTAAAGTTTGAAAAACGAAACATATCAACTACATTCAAAAGAACAAAGGATACTTAGTTTTAACTTTCTAGAGTAGTTGAAACGTGTCTAAAAATCAACAGTAACATGATCTCACCCGTCTGTGTTCCTTCACTGCCATAATTTTCCTTCTAATCCTAAATTATTAACTAAGTATAAGACTAACACCAGAAGACTGCTGACTTTTCAGTTTGCAATTAAGCTAAAATGAGAACCAGTGGAAAGCTTTCTTCATTTCGGTACTTAGGAGAAGTCTCTGTCCTGAGCCTATGAAAACACAGAATTTTCACTGTCAAAATCTTATAAAATAGCTGTGTACAAAAGCCTATATTTAAAGATATCAAGGATAACTGTAGACTCCAACTATAAACACTCTTCAGGTACAGGCAAAAGCCACTAAGGCTTCTTCCCCTATGAGCTTCCATAGAGGAGGTTCTCACCGGAACCCCATCCATGGAAGCCGAAGGTGGGCTTCATCCGCACGTGTCTTCAGGGGGCTTCCAATCTAAACGGTATTTTCAGAACCTGTCCAGATCTCTTCCTCACCCGTCTAAATAAACAGTAAGACCAAGTATTTAAGAAACGGGACTGGGGGCCACGGGTGTAGCCCGTCCCCCTTTTAATAATGTTAAGTCCAGTCAGCTCAAAGGCCTGCTGACTTCGCAGCCCTGGAAGCCAACGCGAGGAAGGCTCTGCATGGTTGTAGGAATGAAGTACTAGGAAGGGGGTCTGATGAGGAAGCAAATGGACAGCTGGCAGGTCAAGCGTAAAGGAGGGACAACTCAGGTTTCTTTCCATCTTTTACAAAGGGATTTTACCTGTCTTGTTTTACCTTGGCGTCTCTTGGAAAAAGCGACCCCCACGTCCTCCGTGAGCGTGTATGTGTTTGTGTGTATCGTGACAACAACCTCAGCACCCCGGCTGAGGACAGGGGCTTGGAGGGGGTGGGGACTCAATTCCTTTACAGGCCTAGAACTCTCCCGAAGGGCCCTCGAAGAAAAGGGGGCGGGGAGGAGCGCGTCTGATGCGGACTAGGGGGCTCAGACCAGGCCCGTGAGAGCAGCAGCGGCTTGGGGGACGTGCAGATCCCTTAGGTTTTAATGGTGGCCTCTTTGGAGGAGGGAAGAGGTGACAAGGGGTTGGGGTTGATAAGGCCTCCCCTTCCCCCCTCGCTCAGCGCGCTGTTTACCTTCTCGGTACTTCTTGCGGAGCCGCCGGTGGACGCTTTTCACCACACCGGAGAGCTTCTCCTGTTCCAGTTTCCGCTCCTGCTCCCGGGGCGGCGGAGTGTTCGGGGGCCCGGCCCTCTGCCCACGAGCAGTACTTCGCCCTCCGGCCCCTGGCTCCATATCGCAGCCGCCGCCGCCGCCCCTCAAGCCCCCGCAGACGCTCCCCTGATAGAGGAGGTGGGGTAGGAGGAGGGAGCAGCGGAGGCAGCAACCGGAGGAGGCAGAGGAGCCGGAGCGACAGCCTAGGAGGTGGACGCTCACCCAAAAGTGCAAGCTGATTGGTGGATTTTGAGGGCTGGGCGGAAACGGAAAAGACTAAGGGCCAATGGGCAGAAAGCGCCGGCGGCGAACCCGGTTGTTTGGGAAGGCGAGCAGCTGGAGGAGGCGGAGCTTGCGGGGGTAGGGAGGCTGAGGCAGTGGGAGCGCTAGGCCTGGGTGCTCATCTCTCCCCCGACCCTCCCCGGATTCTGTGCGCAGGCGCTGTGGCCCGGCCTCGGGAGAGGAGCTGTGAGCAACGCGCGTGCGCGTCTCAGTTTGCTTAGTGTGGGCTTTTTTACAGCCCGGGTTTCTGATGTCTTCCATTATTTTCACCTCCTACGCTTTATAATCTGTTGCGATGCGGCCGAGGTACTCTGCTTGAACCTCCGCTGCACCTTGTCACATATAGGTTCCCTTTAGTTACGTGAGCTTTGAGATGACGTTACACTTCAGGGAACTCAAGCACACAAGCTTTCTAAGGCTCAAGGAGAGAGGTCTGGCTAATTTAATTCTCAGGTCGACCATGGTTAATGCCTGCAGTACTGCTGCTAGGCAAAGGACATAGAACATGCGAAACGGAGAGGGCCAAGAAAAGCAACAGGAGATGCAGGAGGACAACAAGTAACGATGGAAAACTCACAGCAGATGCCCTCAAGAACTTTTGTAGTGACCACGGTGTTAATAAGCAGCCTGCCCTGACCTTATTCGCCTCAGCACTCTGAGCTTTTATGGTCGGCTCAGGTAACCTCCTGCCTTTTAATTTGGACAATTAGCCTATGCGGAGTGTATCTAAGTGGGTTTGGCAACCTGTTCACCCTCCGCCACTTCTTTTCCTTCTTTTGAGGAACGTGATTGTTGACTTCTGTCCCATTAAGGTGGAACACTGCTCTCCGGAGAGAGGTAGACTGCATTGGCTCCTGAAGTGGCACCGAGACTGCTGGAGTGTCAGAGATTCAATAGACTGAGAGCCCCTAATGAATTGTGTAGGATTGTGGACCACTTCCCCATTGCAGGTGTTGGTTACGTGACAGTCTACGGAAATGATTGCAATGGGAACATTTTGATGATTTTCTAACGAATAAAGCTTGCGTTATGTAACTTTTATATGCTATCTTCTTTATATTGAATACGATGAAGAGCAAAGAATTATACACACTGTCTAGGACGCAGGAGAAGCGCGAGGTGAAGGGAGATTGATGGAATTTAAAGGCGGAAGATGTGTCCCTTCAGCACAGTGGAGAGACAGGTCAAACACAGAGATAGGGACATGTAAACTTCAAAAGAACTCATTATAATTATGAAGAGAAGTTACACGGAAGCGCCTAATAAATTGGGAATGTGGTGGTCTTATTTGGGGGAATTTCATTTGGGAAGAAAGGGGAGCTTGAATGACATATCTCTTTTGGCTCTTTCTATATTTTAATTTATATGGAAGGCAAATAATGGTGCAAATATTCGAAAGATACAACGATAGTAGAAAGAGCATTAAATTTCACTTGTGCAGAACTAGTTTTTTTTTTTCTTAAAAATATAGAACTTTTCAGCATACTACTAGCAAATGAAATTTTAAGTCCTCTTAAATGAAGATGTTCACTGAAGGAAATTTGGAAAATACAGAAAAGAGTAAAGAAAATAAGTCATCTGGACTGAGAGATAACAACTGTTAACATTTTTTCTTTGTATATACTGATTTCAAACGGGATATTTCTTGATGCCTGTGTGGCAATCTATTGTATGAACAGCCTACTATTTCATTAACCAATTCCCAGTTATTGTATATTTATGTTTTCTCCAGCTTCTCTGTATTACAAATAATGGCATGACAAACACATTTGCACACAAGTGTTTGTCCATTTTTTTAATTATACATTCCATCAGTCTAAACTCCTAAAAGTTCAATTTCTGAAGCAAAGGGTCAAACATGTTAGGGTTTTGATGTATATTGTGAAATTGCCTTTTCTGAATGATAGTAGCAGTCTATGCCATGTCCAGTAGTACCTGTGGTTGTTTATTTCATTGCACACTTACCAAAGGTAGGTATTACAATTTACAAAGTCATTAATGAGATTTTCAAAACATGTCTATTTTTAATAAATATGGGGAATTTCCTGCTGTTTCATAACTAGCTATTCTTATAGGTATAATATTTAACTTAAAATACTAATGTAAAAAAAAAATAAAAGGAACTTATTTAAGACTATCTAGTTGTCATTGTTCAAGCAGATTGAAGAGTCCTACCTTTTAAAATTACTTTTTGACTTCTCACTTTTTGAGAAGCAACTGAAGAAATAACAACTGGACAGCCAGATTTTATTTTATTTTATTTTATTTTATTTTATTTTATTTTATTTTGAGATGGACTTTTGCTCTTGTTGCCCAGGCTGGAGTGCAGTGGCGCATTCTTGGCTCACTGCAACCTCCACCTCCTGGGTTCAAACAATTCTCCTGCCTCAACCTCCCAAGTGGCTGGGATTACAGGCATGTACCACCATGCCTGGCTAATTCTGTATTTATGGTAGAGACGGGATTTCTCCATGTTAGTCAGGCCGGTCTCAAACTCCCGACCTCAGGTGATCCACCCACTTAAGCCTCCCAAAGTGCTGGGATTACAGGTGTGAGCCACCACACTAGGCCCAGATTTTATTTTAAAGATGCATGAATTCAAATGAGGGATAGGCCAACATGTCCTGAGAAACATTTTAAGGCAATTTTTTTCAACTGACTATCTACCACAGTAGAAAAGGGAGTTTATAACTACTTTCCTCCTGTGTAGTTAGTAATATTACAAAAAGCTTTCTATCTGTTAAGGTTGCTGAGGAATTGTAATGGAATTCTCCATTTAAGGGAAACAACTGTCCTAATTGCTGATAAAATGGATTCACTGAAGGGAGCAGGCTTGGTGCAATATTCAATGAGCATATCCTATGCCCAGGAAAATGTCAGCAACTTCCCCGCCCCCCCCCCCCCCCCGTGTGGTGACAGGTTTTTATTTACTGTAAATATCTTGTTTTTAAAAAATTCTCTCATTATTTTAAATGCCTGTTAGGGAAAGAGGATATTGGAATAAAACACTCTTCACTGAGCAGGACAAACCAGTCTGGGAAGAAGAGGCTTTTCTAATGACTGCTCTAAACCCCTGATAAGTAAATTTCTCATCCTCATTCTTTGCCTTACCTAACCGGTCTGCACCTAATTCCTTTCACATTTGGTAAGCTTCCTGTGTTCAAGAACCACTCAGTACAGAAAAAATGTTTTTGGTGAGAAAAATACCTTGTCATCTTTGTTTACAGTTATATTTTTATAAGTAACACATATTCCTACAAAGGATGTAAAGGGTCAATATATTGCGATAATAAAATATGTTCTATTCTCAGTGGGAGTTTGAAAAAATTAATGGGTGATGAAAAGTAAACTTAAAAATCCATATCAAAATCTGGGATGAGGCACTGAGTTAACCAGTAGATTCTGGGTGTACTTTGTAAAAGTGTTGAACATTTCATTCTGACCCTCTTGAGGATTCCTGTAGAAGAGAGAAGGCTACATAATAGAAATTGGGGTTCTTGGCCAAATGTGGTGACTCACACCTGTAATCCAGGCACTTTGGGAGGCTGAGTTGGGAGGATCACTTGAGCCCAGAAGTTCAAGACCAGCCTGGGCAACAGAGCGAAACCCTATCTCTACATAAAATACAAAAATTAGCAGGGTGTTGTGGTGCACAACTGTAGTTCCAGCTACTTGGGAGCCTGAGGTGGAAGTATCGCTTGAGACCAGAAGGTTGAGGCTGCAGTGAGCCATGATTATGCCGCTGTACTCCAGCCTGGGTGACAGAGTGAGACCCTGTCTCAAACAAAAAAAAAAAAAAAAAAAAACAAAAAACTGAGCTTCTTTGAATGATCTAAAGCATTATTTATTTTTATTCTTCAGTGACTTGGTATTATCTACTTTGCTTTGGCCCTCTTTATTATAAAAATCATAAAAACAGATTTTAATGTTGCAAAATAAAAGTATTAATATTAAACTTCTGTTTCTAAAACATACAAATGTTAAAACAACAGTGTATGTCAGTTGTGCAAAAAGACTTGATCAGCTTTATTATTGAAGATACAGCTGTATTCCAAGCTGGACAAATCCGTGGTTCATGACTATTTAGAAATAGAATGTTTAGGAATTCAGTTAAAATGAGGACTGGAAAAGTAAAATCTATGTTATTTTGAAAATATTTACCACTATTTGCAAAATTCTTACCCATGAATATAAAAATATCCATGAAGTTTAAATGATTTGTTATATTCAGAATTTTAAAAAGTAGATGTATCATTAATTGAGCACATTATTGAGAAACTGTTAAGCCTTTTGTTTTTCATATTTTATTTCAAATCATAGAAACTTTCTTTGGAAAATTCCATATTTAATGTTTTGATAGAAACAAACAGTGGAGAACTAACAAGAAAAATATTTTTAGTGATATATTTCTATTCAATATGGCAGATTACAACTTAAAAATCCTATTTATTAAAAATAGGGTTATTTTCTTTAAAAATGTATGTCTTTAACTATTATGTCAATCAATGACTTCCCTGCAATTCATAATTTAACTGCGAACATTAAAAGTATTCAAAATAACACGCAGATTTGTTATCTTTCAAAAGTTAATAGACTGGTGTTAACCAAGTGACAATCATTAATTAAGGCTTACCTCAAAATACAATTGTAAAACATACTATTTTGCAATATACTAATTAATGAAATATATTTGATAATCATAACAGGGCTAATGTAGGAATAGATTTACATAAAAAAGAAGTACGCTTCTTCTAAGTGATAGATAATGTCCTTACAGCGAAATGTAGGACTAAAATTTTCTGTGTCCTAATTCCAGCTTTGCATTAACCAACAGAGCAAGGTTCTCTGAGCCTTTTTTATCCTCTGTCAAATGTAAAATGAAGAGGTTGGATTTGACTAGTGTTTTTCAATTTTTTTTTTTTTTTTTTTTTACCATGACTCTAGTAAGGAAT